GAGTAACAAGCACAAACTCTCACTTGACCACGACAAGCCTAATGAGAAGGGTGAATGCACACTTGCTACTCTCCTTGCGCTAATGAGGACCCTAATCTTAGATTCTCAAATCTCAATCACCTCACTAGGCTCTTGCTCTCTTTTGCACTCTCAAGGGTGTTTCTCAGCTGAACAAATGGACAAGAGACCTCCCTTGGACGAGTGGAGTAAGTATTTATACCCCCTCATTCAAAACATAACGTTTGGAGGCTGAGTCAACATTCTGCGGGGTGGCCGAACGCTCCGGTTAGGGTGACCGGACGCTCCGGTCAGTTATACCCGCCACTGTGTCAGAAAAAGACGTTAAGTTCTGATCGGACTCTGACCTGCGTTCGATCAGCACTGACTGGACACGTCCAGTCAAGAAAAACGCTCTCTGAAACCTTACTGATGTTGACCGGACGCTGGCACCTAGAGTTCGGTCACTTCACTGTTCAGCGTCCGATCAGTTACCGGATCCTGACCAGCGTCCGGTCATGAAAATCCTTCTCTAGAACCTCTGTGGAGTTGACCAAACGCTGGCACCCAGCATCTGGTCCACCTTCACTCAGCGTTCGGTCAGTACCAGACGACTGCAATTGATCAAATGAACTGACCGGCCTCTCCCTCCAGCGTTCGGTCACAACCAGACCAGCGTCTAGTCAATCATTTGACCATCCATTCACTTTCAACTCGAAATTCTGTGTGAATGAAGTTTGCTCCAATTGATCTTAGGGCTACTTCTGAGCTACCTAATGTTAGGTTTGACAAATGTGCATCACACCTAACCCACTAGACCCACCTAGGTCAAGTTACTAGTCCATACCCCCCTAATAGTACGAACAAAGGAAAAACAAAGTCCTAAACTACTCTAAGTGTCTCTTCAACATCAAACGACACTTAAAACTAGTCCGTCTTTAACTTTGTCGTCCATCCTTTAAAAATCGAAACGATTTCCATCGACGGGGTATGACAACCTTGATTGCCCAATCAATTGCCATTACCATGACCTAACTCAAATTGGCTCTGCAAAACACATGTTAGTCATAGTAATCTCGTGTCGCTATTAATCACCGAAACCCAACTAGGGACCTAGATGCTTTCATATCTCCCACCTAATGAATGTGAGGTAGGATTATATATGAACTTGAGAAAGTTATGGAATATAGCATGATGACCACACCCTTGATGTTCGGATTTAGGCGAGAAACGAAAATTCTATAGGTTCTTTTCGTCCTAACAAACACACATGACATTACAACTTTATTTCTACTCCTTTCATCCTTTTTAAGTGTCGTCTAGATTTTTGCACTAGCCACACTTTATCAAATTTGACTAGATTTATAGAAAATGTTAGTAAGATTCTATCTCCAAATAAATCTATTATAAAAATATATTTAATAATTAATCTAATGATATTTATTACGTACTATAAATATTATAGGAATTTTTATACATATTTGGTTACATTTGGGTATATTTAACTCCTTGATATAAGAAAATGAAAATGACAGAGGGAGTATGTCTCTGTCAGATCCAGTATCATTTGAACGCACTTGTCGATCAAGAAAATCAATACAAAAAATAGTGGCAAAGTGAAAAGAAACTTTTCACATTCGTGAAAACTTATCATAAAGCTTTGTAGCAGAATAAGCAACGAGATTCAGTGGACAACTGGACATGTGCCCTGCTTAGACATTGTGGCGGATCTGGAATAATGAATAATGCAGACTTTAATTTGCTTATTAAAAATTCAGTTTGAAGAACAAGTTCAGTACCACATTTCTACGAGAAAAATCATATTTAGACAAGACCACTATTTATTTATCAATGAGAGAAACTTGCCCACAACTTCAATCTTCAATGACGACTCGCCGCGCCGCTCCGCGCCCACAAGAGAGCAAGTCAGGCCCCGGCTATGAAGGCCACGACGCGGTCCATGAGCTGCTTGGCGTTCTCGCACTCGGGCTTCGGGAGGAAGAAGACATGCTCCTCTCCCTCGGACTCGAGCCACGCCACGTCCCCGGGCCACGCGCTGGCCGCCACGGCTTCGTAGTACGCGCGGTCCCTCACGTAGAGCGCGTCCTGCTTCCCGGCGCACACCAGCATCCTCGCGCACCCGAGCTTCTCCAGCGCCGGCGCGCCCGGCGCCAGAGGGTTCATCCTCGGGTCGTCGGCGCCGCCGACCGCGCCCGGGAACGCGTAAGTCCAGAGCCCAGCGGTGGCCGCTGCGGCGCCCGGCGGCTCCCCCTCGATGGGCGCGTTCCCGCCGAACCATGGGTGGAGCAGGATGGCGCCCTCGATGCGCGGCGCGCCGTCGCCGGACCCGGACGCCCTCATCAGCATGTCGTGCACGATGTTTGCGCCGGCGCTGTCGCCGGCGAGGAAGAGCCGCGCCATGTCGCAGTGCTCGGCGATCCACTCATCCTGCGCCGACGTCGCCCACTGGAGCGCGGTCCACGAGTCCTCGTAGGCCGCCGGGAGCGGGTGCTCCGGTGCCAGGCGGTAGCTCACGGACACCACCAGGACGCCCGCGGCGGCAGCGAGGGGGTTGACGTAGGTGTGGTACGTGGCGGAGCCGGCCGACTCGAGGAGGAACGCGCCGCCGTGGAAGTAGACGAGGACCGGGAGCTTCTTGGACGGTTCCTGGAGCTTGGGGAGGTAGAGGCGTACGGAAAGGCCGGTGCCGGCGTCCAGGACAACGTCCTTGGAGGTGACACCGGTGGCCTCGTCGAGGCCGGCGGGGAGGACCGGAGGCCGGTTCAGGCGCTCGATCCTCCCGCTCTTGTAGATGCGGAAATGTGCCGGGGACTCGAACGCCACCTCGTCTGCGCCGGGCTCCATGGCCGTGGAGGGAGGTGGTGGTGTGACCTTGGTGGAAAAATTGGCAGACTTCCTATGATAAGATGGGGTTTTCTGAGATGGAAAGTTTATGCCGTTAGCTACCGACCCCGGCCAAACCGCTGGACTCCATGGCGTAGACAAAATCTGGGGCCCGGTCCTACCACAGCACGGGATCTTGTGACAGAGAGCACGCCTCATGCTCCTCTGCAGTTTATGCATCAACGAGCGATACATGAAACATCAACACCCGTATGCCAGCACCCGGGCTTGGCATAGATCATGACCCACACACCTTCGGGTCTGACCACACCAATGGAATTGTGATAAGGTGTGCGATGAGCTCAGCCACTCTTTGAGGGAGTGAAACGTGACCACACGTGTTTCAGGCCATTGGATGCTAGCACCTCTCATTCTCAGAACTTCCGTCACTAAATAACTGGTACGTCATTAATATGCTGCTGAAACTTAATATTATATTTTATTTAGCATCTTAACGTCTTTAAATAAAAAAACTCAAAACAAAAGTTATCAAGATTAGAGATCTACAATTTTCATATAAAAATCATCTTCATCCGACGTCGTATGGGAAAGATATGATTTTTCTAAGGTAAAGCCTTGCCATAGGGGTATTTTGGTAAAAAAATACTTAACAAAATCCTAACAGAACATACTCTAAAATCTGACGGAAATGCTAGATAAGAGAAAAAAAAAGCTTGAATCGGTGCTAGATAGGGAAGAAAAAAATTCAGTGCTAGAGGAGGGATACGAAGTTTTATAGTGCTAGAGGGAATTTTCTCAATAAGGAAAAGTTTTATAGTGCTAGAGGGAATTTTCTCAATAAGGAATTGTTGGAGAGAGGTTCTTTTACGTCTCGCCAAAAAAATAAGACCAGAAGTGGGCTTTGAAAACTTTTGGAGATGCTCTTACAATGATAGACTACTTTAGTAATTATTGGAGTTGCCGCTTTGCACCATCTACTTAGGGCATAAACGATGCCCTCGCTAAGGATTGAATCTGCCTTGGAAGTAAAGGACTCTTTGGTAGAGCTCCATCTAATTCTGATTCTCTATGAAAGTTTATTTTTTGAACAAAGTGATTCTCTTTGATTCTTTGCGTAAACTCTCAAAATCACAATGGTGAATCACTTCACAGAATAAGGAGAATCTACTTTTTCCAGCTCCATGCCTCTTAGTTTATCAGAGAATCACTTGAGCTCCTGCTGGATTCAGCAGATAGTCAGCTCTGAAATCTCTGCCAAATAGGGCCTAAGCATGTGTTTGATAGGATATGGACTCTCCTAGAAACGTTTTAGATTTAGATTCTCTCTACAAATGTTTCTTTGTTGAATTAGAATCACTTTGTGTCAGATTCCCTCTACAAATGTTTCCTAAATCAAAACCACTTTATGGAACAGCGTTTGGCTAGCTCGTTGAATTCTTGAATTAGAACTAAAATCAATGAAATGTTTCTCTTTTTGTGACGTTTAGCAGCAATTCTAGTGATTCTATTAACAATCTAAAACACTCCTCGCTGCCAAGCACACGCTAAATAGCCGGGCATCAGGCCATGCTCGAAAGAGAGTGAACCATGGCTACACGTGGTTAGTCCCTTAGATGATGAATAGCCAAAACGAAAAATCACTTACCCATATATCCACCTTTCAATCCATGTGTTCGAGTGGTTCTGTGTAGAATGTAAACTAAATTCTAAATTCGACACCAAACCACTCCGACACATATAGATTAAGATGGATACATGGATATCCAAACAAACCCGTACTAGGGTAGAAAATAGTTGGCAAAAAATTGGGCCTCAGCAAATCGGCATCTTAATCATTTGAAAGATGCCTCTTCGGTAAATACAAATAAATGTACCATCCTTTGGAAAGAAAGAAAATGCAGTTCTTCATTCTACAGTTCACTTATAATTATCATAATTTAGGATTCAAAAAAAATAATTATCATAATTTATCAAGTTGCAAAATGTGATTGTCTCCTAAAAGAAAGAAAATTATATAATTTAAAACCAGCTACAACGAATTTGGAAGACATTACAAAACAAAAATATTCTCTTTACTCTACAAAAGAGATCATTGGTAGTACAAAATTGCTCTATGCACTGATCGACAGATTCATATCCTATTGGACTGCTAGCCGCTGGAGATGGTCCATGAAAACCAGGAAGCTCACATCATCTGTGAATATGACGTCTCCACCAGGGGAGGGATTATCCGAGTTATATGTCACTGATGGATTTAGCTTCGCCAGTAAAAATCGAGCCTGCAGTTTCAGAAGTAATTTTTAGTTCTAGAACATATTGTATAATAGTATAAGGGAAAGATGTGCCAAGAGAAAGGTTTTGGAAAAGACTACATGTAAAACACGAGGTTTTACGATGAAAAGGTAGTCTCTTCCCCACTGTGAATAATGATCATTCCTCTAAATTATAGTTATAATATACTTTGTGGTAGCACACACTAAATTTGAGTACTGGTGATTAGACGTGACAAATGGCTGGATTCTGGGAGTGCTGACATATCTACGACATAGCAGATGAAGTAAAGGACAAAGGGCTTATTTTAGGCCCCGTTTAGATGCGAAATTTTTTGGCTTTTGGTTACTGTAGCACTTTCGTTTGTATTTGACAAAAATTGTCCAATTATGGACTATTTAGGCTTAAAAGATTCGTCTCGCCAATTACGGGCAAACTGTGCAATTAGTTATTCTTTTTACCTACATTTAATGCTCTATGTATGTGCCGCAAGATTTGATGTGACGGGGAATCTTGAAAAATTTTGGATTTTGGGTGGGATCTAAACAGGGCCTTAGCACTGGTGGACCAATGGCATGACGAATTCCTTGGATATAAAGCACTGTTTGGTTTAGATGAGGTTTGGGATTAGGAAGTTTTTGCAACTAAAATTGAAAAAATGGATATGGATATTGCATGCAGCGATTGTTGAACAGTTGATCATCTGCATGCAATTGAACATTAGACACAGGTGATGGCTCATTGTTCCCGCATCCCTTTCAATGGATGCTGAAATGATGTTGCTTTTTACAGGAAATGCCCTGAATCTATAGCAATGTGCACTATGCTATTTGCTATGTTCAAGTGAAAGGTACGACTTAATTAATATCACTTGACTAACACATGAACAATCAAGCCCACCATATCATGTCCAAACAGAACAACAGAAATCAAGAATGGACAGGAAAAATAGATACCTGAGATCCATATTGATCACAGACTACCAAACGGGGTACAGGAAATCGCTCCTTTATTATTAAATTAGCTTCCTCATGTGGAGCTTTTAACAACTGGGCAAACACCTGAACATTGTACAAGTAAGCACCGCATGTTAACTATAGCATGTAATCAACAATGCATTCTAGATATGATCTACCTTGACACTATAATATAAAAATAATTACATTCGATGTAAAGGTGAAGCAAAATATTAAAAATGTATTTGAATAATAATGCGTAAGCGCAAAATTTGGCATTTCAGTTGACTAACATCACAAAGCTGTGAAGCATTGACAGGTTACCTCGTGACCTTCTTGATCTTGGTAGCCAGCATTGCGCCACTGTGCAATGGTTACCCCATGGAATATGACAACAGTAAAATAAGAGTCCAACAAAAGGATCTTGTCAGAAGCAATTGCAGTTGCATCCAAGAGAACTGGCTCTGGCCCTGATTGAAATGAATAGGATATAAGTGAAGGTTGAATCATCACAACTGCATTGGCTACATTCTCTCTGTCCAACATCATCCTAAAATACGCAGTTTCATCAGGACTGTTATTAAAAACCTGCAACAGAAATAAATAATTAGTATCCAGAGATGTATACTTATCATCTTCGAAACATTGATTAATGAAAAAACGAGAACAATATACCTGAACAAATTGAGAACGCCTCAAATTAAATATAAACTGGGGAAATATTGATAGCCGCGGGGATAAACTGAAGGATGAGGGTGTCTCCTTCTGATAGTCTCCAAATTTTGAGCATATACGTATCAAAGCTCGATCAAGCCATCTTACTGGGTCAAAATCAACCTGGAATACTCCATGACAGGAAAATGTTACATTAAGATGAGCTAAAGTACTTAATTTATGAATTATTGCTCATGCTTTGCGAATCCTTCCAGCCTCTATACTCCAAGAAATGCTCTTTATAAGAAGAAATAGCAGATAATGTATTAATGTTGCCCCAATAAACTTCAAGGGCAGACTTCATCAGGACAACCACTTTCCAAAAATAATTAGGATTGTTGAGAACTGATATCACACTTATATGACCAGTAATTCTTGACACAGGGAGCGTGTGGGCAGAATGATCTATAATCATTCCCATTTTGTATAATAATATAGCATGCTAATTTGGTCATCTCATCAAAACAGAAAAAAGGCTCATTGCACAACAGCTAAAAATTAAACTACTAACATATTTGCATTGATATTAAAGCAAAATATGCTGGGGGTACCTCAGTTTCCATCTTAAATGACACCAAGCGTGCCATGACTGCAGCTGCAGCTTCTTGATCAAAGCCAGCTACTAGCTCCTACAACACAAATGAACTTGCTAAGGAACAAATACCTTTTGTTTCATAAGAGAAACACAAAAATACCAGAAAAAAAGTCAAAATACACTAGAAAGGAATATGAATCAGGTGTGTGCCTGTTCTGAACATAGAGAACTTCATCATATCAGCTAAATCAACTATAGCTTGTAAAAGCAAAGTGTTTGAAAATTCAAAATTAGTAAATAAACCAAATAAAAGGAAACTTGCCTCCACATTGTTATCACCAGAGACCCATCTTCTAGAGATTGTGGTCGATCTTAATCTCATCTGACCCTCATTGTGCTGATAGCTGAATGTTGCATCCTCAAGTTAGACAAATTCGTCCACAACAGAATTAGGTGCTTACATATGAATAGGCCAAAGGAAACCAAAAATCTTCTTACTAGGTTAAGAACTGAAAGTAGAACTGATTGCTCGTTGATTGACCAATTGAATCTGGGCCATCTTTTTTTGCAATATCATATACCAAGCAAAGTGATGTCTTCCTGTCAAGGCCGCACATCTTCCAAGCACTAGTGTTTCCTTGACCAATAACAGTGTCGGAAGACAAAGGACTTTTCTGCATAGCATGACATCAATATTTGAAATGACAGAAAAAGAAATCACAACATTGTCATTTGTATGCCTGATTAACAAAGTAGCTAGTATATGGTCACAGTGTCATACCTTCTCCAAGGAAGAACAGGGTCCAATGATGCCTTGAACCTTTACATCCTTTGAACAGTTAATCTCAAGAATACCACTGCAGAGGTAATTTAACCATATTAAAACCCACCATTCCACAAAGGTCTGATTGCAAATGTTAGTCGTTTTGGGATATGTGTTGATCCAACTTTCAAAGTTTTGACCACCAATATGCAGACTGAGAACATAGAATTAGTATTAAAAATATTTTCACAATATTCCTTCTAGGTAACATGATTTCATGAAAATTACTAGGTAAAGTATGATACTGGACAGCGTCAATGTCCTAGGAACCTTACATTTGCATCCAGAGGGAGTAGGATACTAGGATTTAAACTAAGAAGTCTCAGGTTTAATTATCTGTTACATGCATATGCATCATGGGCCAGCTGCCTTAGGTTGATCCATCCCCCTGACACAACCGTGACACAAATTGGTTTATCCATGGTATTGTCCACCCATGAAGAGTACTCACAAGCTGTAACAAGGCAGTGCCCCCTCTCTCGTAGTCAACGTGGGTCCAATCAACACATATCTTCAGGAAGAGGCCAGGTTGAAGACAGGTTGAGGCAGATGGCATCTACGATGCCCCTGAAGGTTAAGATCTTTATGTGGCTAACTCTACAAGAAGCTATTCTGAAAAAAGATCATCTTCAAAAATGAAACTGGAAGGGGAATGAATCCTGTGCCCTTTGCACAGAGAAGGAAAGTGTGAATCATCTTTTCTTTGGTTGTATGACGGCTAAGTATGTGTGGAGTTTGATAGCTTATGAGTTTGATAGCTTATGCTATGGGGGCTAATTGTAGAACTTGTAACTTTGACCAATATTAGACCTGGATTAAAATCAGTTTGCCAAAGGGCAAATCTGTCTATGTAATGGGTTTAGCAGCCATTTGTTGGTCCATTTTGCGTATCAGAAACTCTGTATGCTTTGATAACAAGAGAGTCAAATCTCCTACTGAGATTGTTTGTATGATGTGTTCTTTCATCACTTATTGGGCAGGCCTGCAGAAGACTGAGCTGAAGCAGGTGATCCAAGGAGCGGAGACTATCAAGGCGATTGCTTTATACTTCCACAAGGATTTGGAAACACAGGCGCAAGATGAGCGGCAGATCGTTCCTTATGTTGGTCAAGTTGCTTTGTTCTCGTACAGCCTGCGTGCTGTTGGGGCCGTTGGGCCTGTAACTGGAGGCTTCGTACTTTTGTTTCTTGTCGTTGTTGACCTTGTCTGGCGGGTAGTTTGGTGGGTGTTGTTGGGTCCTCGATGGCTTGATCCCTTGGTGATCAGAATCGTGGATAAGTTGTAGTTGCGTTTTATTTTGCTAGAACCGTTTCATACTGAACTTTGTAATTTCATTACTCACGTAATGAAATTCGGTTTCAAGTTTCGACCGTGTGGAAAAAAAAGATGGCATCTACGAAATCACATCTATTAGGTTGCATGGAAGACAAGTTGCTGCCCTCATTATCTTGGTGCACTGGGCATCTCTAATCTCCAAAACCTGGGTTGGACTCTCCGCATGAGATGGTTGTGGTTGCAAAAAAACTGCACCCAATTGTCCTTGGTCGCCATTTCCAATTCAGGTTCATTCTTGTGTCCGGGCCATCTTGTCCATGGCTGTGGCAACTGAAGTGTGTAATGGAGGCAACACCTTATTCTGGGTTGATAAATGGATTCATGGGCAGTGCATTGGTGATCTGGCACCTCACTTGATTGCCTAGGTTCTCAAAAGGAAGATCAACAAACGTACAGTTCAAGAGGCCCTCTCTGGTCACACTTGGATCACAGATATCCAAGGAGGTTTGACAGTTGAGTCCATCTCTGTTTTTATTTTATTTTATTTATGGGACATTCTTTCAGAGATTGTGCTACAGCCAGATGTTAAAGATTCACAATTCACATGTTTGGCGATTATCTACTTCGGGCCAATATTCGCAAAGTCTGCGCATGAGGGGGGTTTTTCATCGTATGAAGCTCTTTGGGCCTTGGGAGAGGATATGGAAATCTTGGGCTCGGCACATGTCGGTTTTTCATCTGGCTAGAAAATAGTAATGCACAACAGATGTTGGACTGCCAACAGGCTTGCTCGACGCGGTCTCCCTCATCCGGACCGCTGTTCTCTTTGCAATCAATCCGAATAAACAATTAACCATCTCCTCCTTCCCTATGCCTGTCAATTCTGGTTCAGTATTTTACAAAGAGTTGGTATGCAGGCTCTTTCTCCACAGCCACGCAATGATTTCCTTGATGAGTGGTGGTCGAGGGTGGAAGCTTCAGTAAACAGTCCGGCTCGAAAGGGGATTAATTCCCTCGTCATCCTTGGAGCGTGGACAATATGGAAACATCGCAATAGAGGTCTGATTGAAGGAGCCTCTCCTAACTTGGCTGAGGCCTTGTTTCTAGATGAGGAGATTCGATTCATTTCTGGTGTTTGGCCGGAGCTAGGGGAATTTTATTTTCTCCTTGCTCTGGTGCCTGATGGTGGTCAGTAGCCAGTAGGATGGCCTCCTGTTATTTCGATTGGGTCAGTTTATTTGTAACAAAAAGGTGTGTCTATAACCAGTCTCTAGTGACAGGTGTGGGTGTGTGTTGTTAAGGGCTCTTATCCCTTTAATTCTTCTTCTTAATATAATGATACACAAGTCTCCTGCGTTTCGAGAAAAAAATTTAATCCTTCGCAAAGCAGTCTCTCTCCCAAATGGGAACTGCAGCTTGCATGTATAAAGTAAAAAAAACTAAGGTGGCTCAGTCCAAGTCCTTAGAAATGCATTTAATCTTCTCTCTAGACTAGAAACAATCAAATAAGATAGACAAAAGAACACTTACTTGAATGATAAACCAAGGTTGTCATCTGTTGACTGAAAGATGCGGAGAAGTGAGTCTTTGAAAACAGAATGGCCAAAACTTTCCGCAAGCACTACAATTCCTCCAGTCTTCTCAATTGCAACCTTCATTTCAGCGACTCCAACCTATAAAATCAAACCACAAAGAAGAAATCTATCAGTTACGAACAAGGTAACCACATGTCTCAATTTACACAATGAAAACACAAACGATTCTTTTTCATAAATGTATTTGATAATAACACTGATTGTCTGTCCTACTATTGGAAGCAACTGTGTTCATTGTCTTAAATGTAAACATAGGAAATGCTTTGTTCCTTATGCGACCAAATTTGGAAAGTTGTTAATGTGTGTATCAAAATACTTCTGCTTTTTGGCGTTATTGATTTTGGCTAGGAAACCAGCTCATGTTCAAATTACGCATATGCATGATATAATCTGATGCACAGACATCTGTATATGTGATAAAGTCCCGGGGTTTTAGTAAAAGCAACAGTAACAACAGCCCGGCTATTCTTGTTTTGGAGGCTATTTTAGAATTTGTAGAGCAAAAAGTAGGCTCCAACAGATGTGCTATCTGGCTTTGTAAAATAGGATGCTGGCTATCCCTTCATTTTCGGTGGCCATATAAAGCCAACCACGGGCGCTAGCAATCTGAAGATGAGAAATAGCATGGCTGTTGTAACCCATTCTTTCTTGAGGAATTTTCTATTTTATTACAAAATGGCTAAACTATGGAATTTGGCTACTAATTTTAGCCAAGCTGTTGGAGTTGCTCTAAAAGAAATAAAAACTTAAATAATTACTCCCTCCATCCCAAAAAGCATACAAAACTTAAATAATTACTCCATCCCAAAAAGCATGTCACTTTAGGATTCAAGATTCGTCCAATGAATCATGTCATTGTAGCTTATGGACAGCTAGTGGGATCACAAACATTAACTCAACCCCTCATGCATGTGTGTAATCTTCCTTTCTCATTGAATAGCTTACATGCATGCGCAGTTAATTAGGGAAGGGAAGGTTGCATCTTTTCGCATTAATTAGTGTGGCAAACAATGCGCGATCACTAAAATAGTCAGGGGCACCTACATAAATTACCTTGAGCAGTAATCTGTCTTAAATTGTTATAATGACATGTTTTCTGGGACAGAAGTACAATTACATTGCTAGTATAATAATGAATTGTAGGTCCATGAAATTAATTCATAAAAGTTAGATGTATGAACAGCAAGCAGAAACAAGGGAAAGCAGAATGTCGTCAAAGACTCAAAGGAGACATGCAGCAAGCTGGTTTTTGTCTCTAAAGAGTTATAACTTGCATACTTAGAAAAAAAGGGAAATGAGTGGCAAACCTGGTCGACTGCACAAGCAAACAAATCCAGCACATGCCCTTGGTGCACAAGCTGCTTTGCTATTTGATCATAGAACTTAACAGCTTTATCATAAAGTGGCGCTGAGTCTTTATCAAGATCTTTGTGTGAGCGAATGGGCTCTGATAAGGATTTGGATACAATCTGGAAATTTTGTAAGATAGTCATTCTACTGCACAAGAAAACATGTTACAGAAGCATCTCTTAACCATATAATTATGTTATACGAAAACGATAGTTGGCACCAACACTAGGAGCTTAATCAATATTTGTAGTCAGAAATATGAGTTTGTCAAGCAAAAGAACTGGGGTGAAGTGTTACCCCGTGATATTGCCTATTGGTGTGAAGAGAATTGTGGTAAATATAAATCTAATCAAAATAGTGAGATAAACATGAATTAGTCGTTTCAAGAACAGAAACAACAGCATCTTCTGACAAAACACAGGTACAACGGTAGAAGTATTTCTTCTTAATATAATGATATTACAGCTCTCCTGCATGTTCGAGAAAAAAACAATGGTAGAAGTGAAGGAAGGCTTTGATCTTCACTCAAATCACTTATGGTTATATTTCATCATAGTATAAAAGTAAATAAAGAAAACTGTATATAGTATTTATGTACATCATCACATTTACTCCAACATAGTCCCAAAGTAAATATATAGCTAAAATAACTGCTCCCGGAACCATCGATATAAACAGTGTTTTAGCATTTAACAGAACAGTTCAGGGAAATGAGACAAAACCATGTAAATCTTGTATTAAATTTATAGCATCAGACTCGACAAGTTCAGAACTTCAGATCATGCAAACATATTCCATTCCACCTATGATGTTGAAAGTATCTGGTAAGTTACAAAAATAATAACATTTCTAAAGCTTATAGAACCTATGTAAAACTTTCAGATAACAGAGAAATTTGGTTGCATATCAGCGAAGGAACCTTCCCAATTTGCCCTCTATTAGGATGTTATATACCAACACTGATGTAGTTGAAGGAACCATAAATAGCTTGAAAAAAGATGGCATCCAGATGAAAGAATTTGGACTTACAGAACCGGGGCCCTCTGTAGATGGACCACCAACAAATGCCATTATCCTAGCACCTGATCCAGGAACACAAACCCCAAGGAGATTGGCTGCAACACTTAAGGCAGCTCCAGTGCACCTAGATGCACGCTGATCTGCTGGAACAGGCCAGGGGTCCTTTTGTATTTCTTCTATAACCTACATACAGTGAAATTATATGAACACAAGGCAATGCTGTATGGAATGGACAGTGATATCTCCAATTTTAATTGTAATTAATGTAACGTAATTGGTCCTTAACTGAGTTCAACACAAACTCGCATTCAGAAGCAGGTAGCAGAAACCTAGAGATGCTCTCAGATGAAAGACCATCTCTGGTACCAGCGATCACACCTGTGGTGGGCATTTTCTTCCCTGCAAAGAAGCACATTTGTTCCAATATTTGTTCCTTGGTGACCTCCTTTGTTCCCTTGAATACATATGACTTTGGCAACAAGCCAAAACCCAATTCATGAACCTAAACATGCAGATGGTATACATGTTACTAAACCAACCAATTAAATATCGAAAAGAACAATTATATGGAGCATTAGAAAGAAAACAATGGGCTTTTACCTGCACATACGTCCCGAACGTAATGAATCCAACAAGGGAATTATCTGGCAATAGCTCAACAGCTTGTGCCAGTGCAGACTTCAAATAACCAATTTCTTCTTCAATCATGCAAGTATCTACAACAAAAATGAAAACCGGTGGAACTATAGGACCAGTTTCAGTTGAGGATATGTACTCAACGGTGGTATACTGAGGAAAGAGTTCTGCAGGGAGATTATTTTCTGAGATTGACGAGTAGTGTTGAGGGAATTGGTTGCGTTGAAAGCAGAATGGACAGACCCAAATCTTAGCAACATAGTCAACAATGGAGAAAGGGTTGAGGATGGAACGACACATGCGACAGCGAAGGGGTGCATATGGGAGAACTGGGATATCAGGAATTGATTTCAAAGGTGTATAGATAGCGGAAACAGGAATCACACAGTTCACAGTCTCCTGTTTTGTGCCTGGAATAACATTCCAGGGCATCCTTATCCCATCTTGTACCTCTAGGTCAAGGAACTCAGACATCTTCGATGCAGCAGCCTTGTACAATAGTTGTAAGAAGCTTCACAAGTTGGACAAAGGAATCTGGCCTGCAAATATCAAATAAGAGGATGCGAAAATTGGTCACCACGAATAAGAGAAAATAGTCAAAACAGAAACAACAGAGAAAACCCTCAGCCAATCACAGTTCAATCAGCTCAAGTACAAGGTGGACCAGCAACTCTGCTCTGGAGGTTCAAATCCTTCTACTGCTAAATGCCATCTTATAACCGTGTGACTATAACCAGTACTCATGTAGAATATCCTCGTCTAGTTAAAATGAGTATTACCTTGAGTTCACAAAATAAAGTGCACGGAACAAAATGTTTTATGTTATCTTTTTTTCCACAGAACCCTAGATGTCTCCGCATAAAACATATAAGTATATAACCCTAAGTTCAATTGTGCTATTGTTATTACCAAACCCCACCTTAAGACAGCCCAGCCTGACCTGACAAGATGGCGAATCTGAGATACCAGTATTCTATGTTGCCTGTGTCCTGGGTGGACCAGAAGCGTTGAGGTTATGTGCCACAAGCCAGGAGCCCCAGATGCATAGGGGTTTTTTTTCCAGCTATGACCTAGTAACAGTGGCCAGCAGATTTTCTTAAAATTCCTTAAGCACAATTATAATGTTGCGTTTTCTTGGCCATAAAACCAGGGTAGGATGATGTTTTCTTTTGATTTTTTTTTGTGGTGTGTGTGTGTGTGTGGGGTGGGAGGGGGGGTCTGTCTATCCCATATCACCAATTTAAGTTGTAGATGTAGACATTGTGAAGATTCATTTAAAATGGTAGACACTGCGAAAATGTCAGCACACGAATGAGACTCCAGATAATACACTCAGCCAGGGGCTGACGCAGGACATGGATGTAAACATGTACACCTTTTTTTTTGCAAAAATAAAATATCGAAGCTAGTAGGCATAATAGACGTATACACTTGTAATTAGATCAGATCCAAATACAAATAGCTTAAGTTAGGTTTCGGAACTAGGTTTCACAGAGCAGGAAGGGAAGAGATGGGGTGCATACTTAGTGGGTGCTCGTCGTCGGCGAAGGGCCAGACAAAAGCCTGGCGCAGGGACCGACGAATGCCTGCGCACCTGCCCTAGGGCGGCGGCGGCGGCGGCGATCGCCCAGTTGTCGCCACAGGAGAGCGCGCGCGCGCGCCGGATGAACGGGAGAAGCGAAAGGAGTCAAAGGGCGCAGGGATCGGGATCGGGAACGGGAGAAGCGAAGGACGCAGGAACGGGAGAAGTGTTTGGGAGAGCTGCATGGTCCAACACTTCTACAATTATGGCCCAAAAGCAGCCAACAAATTCTCACTGATGCTCTGGGCCCGCGCGTCAGTGAGTTCATCCTCTTCCTAATGCAGACGGGGCGGGTGCGAGCGAGTGCAAGGCGAGCGCGGCCGCGGCCGGTGCGAGCGGGTCAGCGCAGCCGGCGGCGGGTGCCTGCGCGGCCATGGCGGCCCTAGCGCTCTAATCAGTCGCGCGGGGACGAAAAAAAACCGTTTTTTCTCTAATCTAGAATCTACGCAGCGTGTTCGTGCGTTGGTATAGAATAACTAAATTTTTATACTTAAAAATATATAGATCATACGATAAGATAATAATAATGTAAGTTTGCAACTATTTTGCCATCCTATAGCTTTGAATCTGATTCTATAAGCTTTAATCTTGGATTTCTATAGCTGTAATAAGCAGATTAAAGCTTATTGGGAACTATTGCTGCTACCTCACCAAACTAAAGCTGCAAACATCTTTCCTTCTATAGCTTTCTAGCGCATAAAGATACTAACCATAGAGTAGTAAGAATTTGGAAATTCCACCTATTAAACTATATACCTTGGTCCAGCTACCTGCTCCACATACTTTCAACTTTGTCAGTCTAGTCCTGCCACCCCCCTCATACATTGCAAATGAGTTCACCACCACAGCATGCTAATGACTGTGCTGACCTACAGCAAAGCACCCACACACCTGCACTAAGTCAATGCATAAGAATCGATCATTTTTTTTTTGATAAACAAATACATCAATGCTTTCCAATTAAACCAGCGCAAGAAAGCAATATACCTACCAGTTCTATTGTACTTCCACCTGCAATGTCTGTAAATTTCTTTTCCCCGTACAGGAAGTTGAGAAAGATGTGAAAGCTCGGACTAAAGGGGAACTCGGAGCTAAAAAAACATTGTGTACTCCATTTGAGCAGCCAGAACTTCCAGAAGGTATGGCTCTATGAGGGCCTGCATGCAAGTTACCTATGGTTTTCCTTGTTACGATTGTTGCATTTATATTGTAATGCCGACCTGTCGTACAGTGTTGCTATAAGTAGAAAATAAACGCTTCAGATCTGATTGCAACACATAATTCTCACCGTAATTTAACTGGACCTCTTTATCTCTGGGCAAAGTCAAATTTATCATGAAATTTCTACCCGCATTTCACCAGAGTCCTTGTTTCATCTTTTGCCAACACAATCTCAGTCTTTATCATGACTTGCTGATGTCCGTGCCTTGCTATGGGGAACCTTAATTTTTTCTAGGCAAAAGAGTATAAAAAAAGAAACTACATGTAAATATATCTTTGAGATATCATTGAAGTAGAATGTCAAACAACAGACGGGACACCTGAAGTGCTAACCAGTTGATATTGTGCCCGTGTGTTGCTACGGAATTGCTAACATTTTTTACTAAAAACACACGGATCGTACGATAAGATAACAATATTATAAAAATTAAATACTAACGTTAAAGTGACATTTAATCAAAAAGCAAAGTTTATGAATTTAATATAGTCACGAGTACGCGGCGTCGCAGGCTCACAAACTCTACTTTATAGACCTTTCCGTGATGCGACTAAGATAATATTTTATATTGACAGAAAGAAATCTCCAATATCCATTTCTTTCATGCTCACAAACTAATGACCCTAGTGCAACAATAGGAAATACAAAGGAGCTATCATCGTGAATGCACGGAACCAACGCCACTACGATCGTGCCATCCCACGACCACTAGTATGGTGTTGTTTAGCACTATTGTTCACTATTATCGCTAACTTGCTTCGTTGATTTTATTCAAGTAATTTATGTTTGTAATTATGCATGTGCTAATTCGGTTAATCCTACATTAACACATGAGAAAAGTGGGAAAAGTCGATAAAACTCATGGTTTTGAGAACATACACGTATAATAGTTATGAATTGTTACAAAATGAAATATTATAAACAAAACACTCAAAGTGTCATTTTATAACAATAATATAACACATATTCAATTTTCATTATACCATCACACAAGTATATATACAACATCTCCGTGTAGAATCTGATAAACCATTTAAAAATATCTAGAAAAAGCAACAAATATGGCATTAGTGAGATATTATTTGTACAATATAAATTGAATGAAAAAATGCATTATATAAGTTAGTAATGTTCTGTTACATCGCCTATGGCGTTAGAACCTCCTTAAATATAATATTCTTTGTTAAAGTTCCATTCGCTATTGGGGTCTTCTTATCCTTATCTTTTTTATTTGACGCATTCTTATATTTTTTTTCCTCGACATTCTTTTTAGCATTTTTCTTGTCTATCTTTTTAGTTTGGTGGCATCCATGTTTTCCTTTGTCTGATGATACTTTTTTCTAAGTTTTTTATTTTTTTCATCCCTTTCTTCTTGAGTCATTGATGCATGTCATGCTTTTTCTTTCTCTTTTTTACGCTGGCACACGTTCATCTATTTGCGCTTGTGAATTTGATGTTGTATGATCACCTGTTTGAAAATAAGTTGATAAATATTTGCTTAATTACCATAAATAATACAAGTGAATGTGTCTATGGACATGAGTATAAACAATTACCTCCATTGATGATGTTTGTCAAGTCTTCAAATGGTGCACGACCTTCATTATTTTGTATATGTTCCATTGTGATTTCACTTAACACAAAATTAACCAATAAATTCGTATTATCAAACTTGTCCATGAGAGCAGTGATAAAAACATCAATTGATGCTAGAAAGAGTGAAATACTCCCTCCGTCTAAAAAAAATATACTTTATCTAAGTTTGTATTAGAAAATACTAATATTAATGATACAAAATAAATACCATTAGAGACACATACTAAAACTATTTACTACCTGAATGGGCGCCGCCTCCAATCGTGCCCATTCAGGTGCCTATTTACTACCTAAATGGTCAATTGTTTTTAGGTCCTAATATCAATTGCTAATTATATAACGCCTTAACTGGTATATGTCCGTACGCACAATGAATCAATTCTTTAAAAAAATGTTCATTACAAAAAAGCAGGTAGGTCGTCTCAACATATGGTAAGGAAAAGTCTTTTTCTATGGCAATCAGTACAAAGTTCCTTATCAAGTATGTCAGTGTGTTCCTCTAGGTTCGTGCGTGTTCATTTCCTTCTGAGCTGGATCTCTTGATTCGTATGGCAAAAAAAATATGTTAATTCTAGTTCGATGCTTCTATTTTTGAGGTGCGCATTTTCATTTATAAGGTGAAAACCATTAGTGGTAGCATGCAGGTTCAGAGCTGCTGCAAGACTGACAACATGTAGGTTTGCAAAGCAATGGATTTAAATTCAAAAAGATCTTAACAAACACAAACACTCACTATATCAAGAATTTCATAAGCATCTAAGCTAAAGTGTATTTATTCCAAGGAGTTTTCACATGGCATCCACGAAATATGAGAGTTAGTCTTTGTTCATCAGCCATCTCAAGTAACAAAAAAATTATTTTTTTTCTTCTCATGAGACTAATTTGATAACAACACTCATCAAATTGCATATATTAAAATTGTCCTAGATTATACTACAAGCAACTTGCAGTACTAAGATGATTAAAAAAACATCAGTTCATCAGGTCATGGAGCTCGAGCAAGCACCTTACATATATTTTTTCTTGCTAGCTCCTATTTTGTTTTAGATTTGCTTCTACACCCTGTGCCTGAACCAC